TTGTTTTTATGTTATGTATGTTACTCGTATTTATGTCATTAATTATGTTTTGTTTATTTATTTTAGGAATTATCAAATATTTGTTGCAGTGTTGATGTTATTATAATCCTTATAAGCATTGATAAAGTTGTTAAAGGTCATGACAAAGATAAAAAAGATATCATGAGTAGATAGAATTGACAGCTTCAAGATAAAATGTTAATATCGAACTTACGATATATTGTTGACTTTTATTTGAATATTATGAATTTTAATTTTGATCAATTTTATATTTTTCAATTATGGCACTTCTAGTGTTACATTGTGAGTTAAGCATGTAAAATGGTCTTAAGGAAAATCTATTTCAAGCACATTCAAATGTGGTTATCATGCTAGTTGGTATAACTATTTAGGAATTCCAAAGTAAGTTATTTTTTTATTTAAAAATTTGACTCATTAAATCCTTATAATTAATTATTTTTATTTAATTTATGATGACTCATTAATCAAAATTTTGTGACAGGAAACATAAATTTGTATAGTTTTTTAGCAACTAAGGTTATATTGACTTGTCAATTGTTGATACCAAGCTCTTTAAAAATAGATTAATATTTTGTTAGATGGTTATTTGTTCATCTTATATTATGAAATTTATTTATTTTGCCCTTATTATTATTTAAATGAAGGTATGAAACTTAACGTTATTTGTTTGCTTATTAGAGGATGATAATCAAATGTAAGCAATAACTACAGATGATAGTGATAAAAATAGTAGAGTTATTGAAAAGTTGATAAAAATAGACTTACTAAAGTCTAAGGTTAAATCACTTATCCTTTAACTGTTTGTCATTTTTTTAATTACTTTGGTCATAAAAAGTTATACCCATGTTTTGTTATTTTGGCACAATTTTTTTAGGATATGAGATCTCTTTTTTATATGTCAAACTAAGATAATTAAAATTGATGTCTTTGATAGGTGATTCTATAAAAGTTGTAATCAATGCTTAATGAAATTTATGAATGAAAAATTTTATTATCTGAATGTAAAACATGTGAACAAAGTCTAAAACTTTTGTAAGAACAATCGATTTGATGTCACTTTCTTTACATAAAACCTTACACATGCCTATAATGGTTTTACATAAGGAAAATAAATTATTTTTATTTATTTTTTATTTCATCATATTAGTTGTAAGATCTAAATGACGGTTAACTATACCATTGGTGGAACTGAATTAATTACTTTTGTTTCAATAGCTGAATAACTCATCAGGTAAATAATTAAACAAATGGTTGTTAAAAAAACTACAAATAAAATGATTTTACCTATTGCTATGAAGAACTTAATAACTGATAAAATAAATTTACTTATTGCTATGAAGAACTTAATAAATTAAAAGTTTTCAAATTAATCTTACTAAACAACCAATTGAAATTAGTGTTCCAGCATTTGTTGTCAACCAAAGTTTCTTCACTTAAGAACAATATCACTTTTGGGAACTAGTGGAATATTTTTTTCAATAGCAATTGTTCCATTTGAGCAAATTATTGAACTTGAGTTCACTTTTAAAAACAAGAAACAGTTACATTAGTGTATATTAATATTCCAACTGATTTGTTTCCAAAAGAATCATCTGTAAAAGCTAGAAGAATTAGGTTTTGATTCATTACTTTTTGTAAACCAAAAAAAAAAACTTTATTTAATGTATTACTTTCTTTGAGTATTAATAATATATTCATATTGCAATATATACAACATGCTTTATGATTATAAAATAATTAAGCTTCTGTTTTTTAGCATAGGAGAATCAATTTTTATAGATATTCAAGAACACGATACATTGAATGAGCCATTTGCAAAAGATCTATTTTAAGGTGTAATTGTCATCTATAAATGAAATTTTATTACAATTCTTTTTGCAAGTTTTTGTTAGCATGTTATATGGTTTATTAATTTACCTTTGTTTACCTTAATACAACTAATAAAAAAAATTGTTAGATCAACTATTGGATTATATGTTGAATCACAGGACATTAGTATATAACAACCTTTGAAAAAATTTAAATCTAAGGTTTTTATTTTTTAGCTAAAATTTATTTTGAAAATTTATGACTTATTTGATTAATTATATTATTATTTTATTGATCAAAAGAAAGTTTTGAACCATGATTTTTTTCATTTGTGTATGGATATCTTTGATTAAAATTTACTGTTCTCAAGTATATATGTAAATGAACTCAAATAAAGATTAGACTGATTCTAAACGTCTTATTTTTATTGTGCAATGACGAAGACAAATGATAAAATATCTTGCATCTTAGTAATAAATTGTGCATAAACTATTATTATGCATTCTTAATTTTTCAATACTTTACATCTTTTAATAAATGAAACACTAAAAATTAATCATGCATAGTTTTTGGTTAAACTTATTAATATTTTTTATTAATTCAATTTATTATTGTAGCATATTCCAGATAAATTTCATAGGCAATACCTAACAAAACATGACATTTATATAGCTTTGTTGCTTTTTGAAAACACAAAGCGTGGAATATTAAATATAGATGCACATATCGAAACAATTTTTTTCAGTTGGTTGGAAGAAATTTGCAATTGATAATTGCTTGAACCATGGTAATTATTGCATATTTGTGATGATACAAAATGGAAAATTTTATGTGAGTATTTATAGTGATTTTTCTCTCTTAATATCAGCTAGACGTATATTCGAACATAACAATTCTACTTTTTCTTCAATGTAAATAATGATGCTGCTTTTTGAAATTATGTTTTGGTGCTACTTGAATGCTTTATGACTTTTAAAACTATTTGTATTGTTTGCCTATTTTATCACATACTCTATGTAAATATTATCTCTTTTATTTTTATATGTTCAATTTGTTTAACTTTGTTATGATAAAAAAATTAGGTTCAAAGCATTGTGCGAGTATGCTATTAGTTTTTTTTTTTTAACTAACATAAAGTTAAAATTATAAAATATAATAAAAAATAAGGAGAAATTATTAGACAAGTTAAACCGGTGCATTAACATTCCTATTATCCCAATAAATCTTGTTTTTAGTCTTCATCAGTAAGGATGTCAATTTTACCTATATTTAATGAAAAACTTGATTTTTTATCCAAATAGAGATAAGAATAAATATTATATTATAGGGATGGGATAAAGATGGGTATAATTTTATAATAAATATAATAAAACACTCTATTATTTTATAACCTATCCATTAATATCCTATTATTTAGGCAAAAAAGTAAAATTAATTAAACCCTGATTATGACACATAAAGATAGCAAATCAACCAAAAACTATCTGGTTTTGACCTAACCTGACCCGACCTTATAGGGGTTTTTTTTTTTTGAAAAAAAGGTTTTGAGTTAGGTTTGGTTGGTTTTTATTTTTTTGAGCTTTAGAGCTAGGTTTATATGAAACCTGACTCGACCTGAGTCGGGATATTTGCCAAAATACCCTTGTATGTATATATATATATGTAATTTTTTTAGGGTTTCCCATTTATTCTTACCTCTAAGTCTAATCCCAGCCTCCTCAAGTTTCAACTCTTTAAAAATTTTTTCCATCCATCCACCTAACCCACGAGTTTCTATCCTAAAGGCTTTATCCATCATTTCCCTTCCAATAGCTTTGTCATCCAGTTGTTCCCTCCCTTTTATTTCAATTTCTCATATCTGTAAAAAATTTGGAAACGAATAGCTTTATTGGCCTAGTGGGTTACTCCATCCACCCAACTACTTCCTCCCTAAAAGCTTCATTAAAAGAAAGGGGTCACCACTCATCAAAAGCTTTGTTCATTCGCGGTTAGTCCTTATCTCTTTCTTTTTTATAGATTTTTTCTTTTATAATGTTATTTATTAAGCATTTAAAGTGTTTGATTTTGTCTCAATGAATTGTAATATTTTATTTCTCATAAAATTTAAATGTCGATCGTTACATTTTTTTTATTTTGTTAGCATAAATAATTAAATACCCATATTTGTTTTACTATTTGATTGTTTGCCTATGCTGTCCTTTTTGGTTGTTTGCTTATGTTATCCTTTTTTTTATTTGGTTTTAGTAACTTTGAAGGTATATAACAAATCCACTGGTAGTGTAGATGTTTTCAACAAAAAAAATTTATGAAAATTTGAAAATCATCATTTAAATTGAAAACCATTAAATTCTAATAGATTTCATTCTAATCTTGAAATCAATAAGCGTTAATAATTTTTTCAATGTTTGTTATGATATGATAAATGCTGTTAGTGTTGATCGATAAGAAGTAAGAGCAATATAAATTTGCATTTAAAACTTTTAATCTCGTGTGTTTCGTTGAATGGCCTAAATCTTATCAGTTTCTGAATATTCATTTTTGTGTTAAATGCTTCTTCATATCTTGTATCATTTAAGGTTAAGTCTAAATGTGAATATTATACTTAAGATGGAAATTAAGACCAAAATGATACAAATTAGTCTATATTTTAATTTTTATACAATATGTTAAAACTAATTTTCATTTTTTTTTATTTACAATGATTAGCATAAGAGAGAAGAAGAAAAAATTCTCATAACATAAAAGTAAAAAACAAACTATTAATATTTTAAACTTGGGTTAGTTTAAATTTATTGTGCTATAACTAACTAATCTTTAAACTACTAATTCAGGTTCGATCATGATAAAAAAAATACCTTTCTTAATGGGTTAGGTTTGAATTTTACAAATAAAACCTTGAACAAAGTCAGCTTAAGTATCAAATAAAAACTTTAAAATTTTGGGTAAAAAAAAAAGGTGAAATTTTATCTTGCTCCGACCCTTTACCATCTCTACGGATACCCCTCAACACAAGATAATAGAAAACGGACATCTCAATCCCACGTGTAATTGCTTGAACTTAACAACATCACACGTGTAAACATCACCATTCACACGAGCCAAAATTGCACAATCCTTATTCGCACGTGTTTGTAGACTATCGCTCATTCCCTCTCCCATCCAACTGGCTTGTGTTCTCCGCAGCTTTAAAAATATTTAAAGAAAGAAAAAAATGAAGGTACTAAAATTGGAGCACTTAGGGAGAACATAATTTTCTTTATTACGAAATTTATAAAATATTAAAAAAAACTCATTTTTCTCAAAAAAAAGAAAAAGAAAAAAAGGTAGGGAGGGGGGGGGGGGACGGAGAGAGAGACTAATCTATTGTAGAGATAGGGAGAGAGGTTTTTCTCTCTACATTTTAGGAGTGAGAGAAAGCTCAGAGGAATAGAAGGAGAAAAAAAAAGTGAAAAAAAAGAGAGGTAAATTTATTTTATTTTTAATTATTTTTAATTTTTGATTTTTGTTTATGGGTGAGAGAAGTTAGATTCTGTTATCACTATTTCAAGATATTTTCTCAGAATTCAGATCATCAAGAGAAAGAAAAAAGGACAAACCTAGAGTGAGAAAATGTTAAATTTATGGAGAAAAATTGAAATAATTTAATTTGTTATTAATATTGATTTGTTTTATTGTATATTTTGTGAATATCAGATTTTTTTTTTTGTAGAAAAAACGTAGAGGAAATTTGAAGTAGAAATTGGGGGATTGAGATTGAAATAGGAATCGAAAACTTTCCAAGCGGTTAAAGAGGAAGAGAGAGAGAGGGAGGGGGAATCCGGAGAGGGGGAAAGAGAGAAGTTAGTTTAATGTTCAATTTGCATTGTGATCGTTTGCGTCCGCGATGGCGGCGGCGAAAGCAGCAGCTATTGTGGTGAGGCGGAAGGAGCGGCGCGTTGAGGAGCTTTTCGATGCGACTGAGATAATCTATGAACCAGAGGCATGCAATATTATATTATCTCTTCATTAGGGTTTCGTTTGATTTTATCAATTAGAAACATTGGAATATTAAATTCTGTTTTTTTAATTGATATAGTTTTTGATTCGTTTAAATTAACCATACAATGTGTGCAAATATTGGTAATATTTATAATGAAATTTGCTGTATCACTCCATTGTGGTGTGGGTGGCCTATGTTAGGAATTAGGGTTTGGCTCCTCTTTGGAAATTGGATATATTTCTTTCCTTGCTTGTTCTGTTTAGTTGCGTTACATAGTATGGCTCTATGTTAGACCCGTATGGAGTTTAAATGCAAGTTTTTGCTATTATTTTGTTTTAGATGTAACTAAATTAGAACAGTTTTTGTGCAATGAGTTAGACTTCCTGGATTTTGATTAATGATACAGTGATGTGCTTTTCAGATCACACCTGTTTTGAGAGGGATTTATTGCATGCAAGGGCCAGTGCATGAGATGGATCAAAGTATTCAGAAGAATATGGTGAGAACAGGGTAATCTGCAATCTTTGTTCTTAACTTGCAAATGCTTTTCTTTATCAATCGTGTTAGTATAATAATGTTTTAGGTTGAGAGAAGGAAGAATATCTGTTTATTGGTACAAACATATGAAAGTGCCAAGTTCTTTGAATTTGCTTCCCTCTTTGGATATATAATACATGGTATGTAGTTATGGTTAACCATATAATTTTTCTTGGTGAAGAGTGCTGAAAACTAGGAGGATGAATAAATAGGTGTGGGGTGAAGAATGATAGAATAGAAAGTTACTGTACTTTCCACTCATGTGCGTTCTGGGAATGATTTAAAAGTGGAATTTTAGAAAATGATGTTTTTATTTCTTAGTTTTTGTCTGTCATCTCCCATTCTCTTTTGTTTTGCTGGATTCAAATTTGTTGGCTAAGGTGGCAAATGCACTCCCTTGATCATTTGCATTTTCTAAGTTCTCTCAGTACCAGTGAAAAACTGCATGCCATCTTACACCCATTTCCTGTTTTAAGAATTGGATAACATTGACTCAGCATATATGGCTGCTGTTTTGGAGTTGGAATAATTTATTTAAAGATGCCTAGTGTTCTAGAATATAAAGCCCTTCGTTGCATTATTATTTTTTAATTTTTATTCTTATTTTTTCTTGCATCCAATACATGATGTTAAATTTCTGTATGTTCAGTTTCAGTGATGAAAAGTGTGTTCTATTAAAACTGTTAGTGGTTTACTTCTAAAAAACAATCTTTAGAATAGTCAGTATTGTAGAATTGATTATTTTGTATGAAAAATTCTGTACAGTAACATTAGATGGTTCTTAGAATAAAAAAAAAAAAGATTAAGTTGGTGCTTTATTTGGTTCCTTATTTTGCTGTTCATTATTTTTCTTGTTAATGCACTTCCTTTCTCTGCCAAAGTGCAAAGCAGGGCCTCTGAATCTTTTCTTTTGTGATGGTTGAATCAAAAATTATTTTCACTTGCTATTACTTTTGTTGCATAAGATTAATTATTTTTTTTCTATTGAGGAAAGGGCATAGGTATGGGTCTTTGGCTTTCTGTTTATTAGTTGCTTAATTCTGCTTTTTAAATCTCAGGTACCACCAAAAACTGTAAAAAGATTAATTAGGCGTGACATGAGTCAAAAGGTTCATACAAAAGCAGAATCTGGAACCTGTAACGTTTGCTCTGCTCCTTGTTCATCTTGTATGCACCTTAGTATAGCTCAAATGGGATCAAAAAATGAGTTTTCCGATGAAACTGATCATGTTTTTGTGGCAAGTGAGTATTCTATCAACGAGGATACAACAGGTGACAGCTTACAGCATACCCCCAGTGAAGCTAGCAATTTGCTTTGTGTCAATTCAAGTCGTGATTTTTACTCTGAAAATATAGAAAGTAAAGCAACTATAAGGCCATCTGATGTATCTGATGCTTTGGAAAATGTTGGGATTCAGAGACCCATCTCAAATAAGTGTGATGGTTCCAAAAGTGTTGAAGGCCAGGATGATAATATTTCATGTGCTAGTAGAGCTAATGATGTGAATAACAAGGATTTAGACAGTAAGAATTCATCTCGTAGTTCAGCGTCAGTTTGTAGTTTAGGATCCAGAAAGGTGCTTTCTTCCCCGAAGCTAGACTTGTCAGAACTTCCATCTGTAAAGGAGGAAGATGCTGGCAGTATTTCACTTAGGCTCCAGAGACCATATTCACGTTCACAAAGTGGCAAGAGTGCTATTGGAGGCAGTTCTGAGATTTCTACCAAAATCCATTCGAAGGCAGAAGCAGATATTGACAACAATGGTGATCCACTTGATAAAGCTGGTAAAAGTTTGAATAAAGATGAGCAAGATGGGTCGAGTGAGTTGGTTGAGTTACCTGACAAGCAGGAGTCTCCTTTGCAAGCACTTTCTGCAGATGAGGATTATGAATCTGACGCCACGGAGCATGATGTAAGTCTATCTGACACTTGCAATGAAGAAAGTCTGCTTGCATGACTGGCTATCTCTAGATTCTTTAGGACTGCCATTGTGGAGGTTGTCTGTTGAGCTTAATGTAATCAATCTGAGAGGAACAATATTAAAGATACCATATTTTAGTTGGTTTTCTCTTTTCACTAAGAGTGCATGTGCCATCACTAGGATAAGGGAAGTAGTGATTATAGTATTCTTAAAACTTATTGTAATGTTATGACTCTGGCCAGATCCTTTACTCTTTTAGGTGTTGTTAAAAGGAATCTTTTAAGGGATAACAAATGCTTTGAAAATGAATATGGAAGTTCTTGAACTTGTCAAATGGTTTTAAGTAGATTATTAAACTGGATTCCATCAAAACTATATTACTTAAAGAGAATCATTCCTTTTCTTTTTGCCTTGTAGGACTTCCTAGATCTTTTTTTTTTAATTTGTTAATAATTTTTTTATATCAATAAATTTTGCTGATTTATCTTTTCTTTTTTTCCCCAATTTCTGGAATAGGTTAAGGTATGTGATATTTGTGGGGATGCAGGACGAGAAGATTTGCTTGCTATATGTAGCAAGTGCTCTGATGGTGCAGAGCACACGTAAGTGCACAAATCCCTTTATCTATATGTTTTTCAGCAGGTTTTTATTGCATTTCTATTACTTCTTATCTACATGCCTGTATTCATTGGTGAGTTTTACGTTATTAATGCTATTGATCAGTTACTGTATGCAAGAAATGCTTCAAAAAGTTCCTGAAGGTTATTGGCTTTGTGAAGAGTGCAAGCTGTCTGAGGAAAGTGAAAGCCAAAAGCAAGGTTAGTTATCAAACAGGTGGAATAAAAAATGGCACTCTGATAGGAGCCTGTACTGAACTTATTTTGCCATTGAATTTTCTAGGTTTGGATACTGAGGGAAAAAAGGCAAGCAAACTTAGCTCAAGCAAACAAAGCTTAGGTAAGAGATATGCAGAAAATCTAGAGGGTGCTTTGGCTCTGAAAAGGCAGGCTGTTGAAACAAATATGGGATCACCGAAATCATTGAGCCCTGGCAGAGTGTCTTCTTTGTCTCGAGAGGGTTCATTCAAGAATTTAGACAAGGGGAAAGTGAGGCCATCTCCACAAATTTCTCTTGGCAATCGTTCTGGTAATGATATGCCAGAAACTGTATGCTCTCCTACTTCTGGTACTCGGCTGCAAACACCAAAGGGTAAGTGAATTGACTTTGTTGGCTAAAACTTTTTCCCATACTTGTTAATTTTAAGCATTGGCATACTGTCCTACTTGATACAGGTACCTTATTGAAATCCAGTTCATTCAATCCTTTAAATTCCAAACCCAAAGTGAAGCTTGTAGATGAAGTTGTTCTTCAAAAACAGAAAAGTGCTAGAGAACATGCATCCCTTGATAGCAGGGAGGAACCTGCTAGAATGATGGGCAAAGCCATTTCATTTAAATCAACTAACTCTGGACGGTTATATACTGGGGAATCAAAATTTAAAATGCTATCAACTAAATATCCTCATGTTCAAGATCGGAAAGGATTAAAACAAGTTAATGAGCGGATGTCATTAGAAAGGAAAAATTTCTTAAAGTTGGATCGCTCTAATTCTACTGTCTCTGTACCTAAGGTTGATCAGAAACTGACACCTCGTGCTGATACAATTTCCCATTCATCTGCAAGCAACAACCGAGAAACTAAGGTTGTTCAGTCAGATGGAAAACCATGTACCTTATCAAGATCAACCAGCTCTCTAGCTCGTGTAGAAAATGCAGTTACTTCTGGTATGTTGTGACGTTCTGATGGAGAGTCTCATTTTTTTTTTTTCCTTTTTAGCATTCACTTTGATGATAATGTTTTGCTGTTTATTCTGTTTTCTTACCTCATCTCTGTTGTTGTTTTCTTTTGGTTGATCCTGACAAGTTAAAAGCATTATTCTTATTTTGCAGCTGTTGGAGTTTCATCCGCCAATGGGTGCATTTCTTCTGAACAGAAGTTAAACCAAGTAAGCCCAAAGGAGGAACCCTCATCAAGTTCTTCATGGACAGCGGAGAGGCAACCTAGTAATTTTAACGGAGTTATGTCAGATGGGCTTTCTCGGTCATTAGATTCAACAAACCAGAGTGAGAAATCTAGGGAGAGTTCTGTCAGTCGCTTGTCAAAAAGTGTTCCATGTCTTAAATGCAAAGAAATGGGTCATACAGCTGAATATTGCTCAGTCTCTCAGACTTCTGGTGCTGATCTGTCTGCTCCAAGAACTTCTAGGGAGGGGATACATAAAGGCAATAAGTTGAAAGCGGCAATTGAGGCAGCTATCCGTTTGAGGCCTGGAATATGTGAAAGAACATCTCAAGATCCATCATCAGTTTCCAATAAGGCAAAGAACATGATTTCTGTTGAAGGTACACATGAAGGGCAATCAAATCTTCATAATCAGGCTTCCCTTGGTAATAGGAAGCTGCTTAATTCACATTCCACTGGAGCTGTCTCCTTAGTTTCTTCTGTTGGCAATCTGTCAATGAGAGATATCTTTGCCCCTCCTTTAGCCGCAGAAGCAGTGTCTGCTGTCTCAAAGATTTCTGCCATTCCAGAACATGAATACATCTGGCAGTAGGATTCCTGTCCTTCTATTGAACTATTTTCTTTTGTTTGTGAAAAATATGCTCCCTTTTGGTGTCATTTTCATTTATTGCTGCAGCATAGAGATGTTTCTTAAATGAGATGGATTCTGTTACTTTTATGCAGGGGGGCTTTTGAGGTGCATAAATGTGGAAAACCTCCTGAGTTTTGCAGTGGAATTCAGGCACATCTCTCAACGATTGCATCACCTAAAGTGCTTGAAGTTGTCAACACTTTTCCCCACAAAGTTTCCTTGAATGAGGTACCTCGCTTGAGCACTTGGCCAACACATTTTCATGACAGTGGTCCTAAAGAAGATAATGTTGCTCTATACTTCTTTGCCAAGGACCTTGAAAGGTAGATATGAATATACTTTGTTTCTTTTTCCTTGTTCACACCGTCCTCTCCCTCTTCCTGTCCCCTTTCTCCAATTGGATTGATCATTGATGCAATTTCTCAGTGTTTTTTGTCTTTTAAAAACTTATTTCTGCTGCTCATGTTGCAGTTATGAGAACTACAAGGTCCTTTTGGATAACCTGATCAAGAATGACCTGGCCCTCAAAGGAGCTTTTGAAGGTGTTGAACTCCTGATATTCCCATCCAGCCAACTTCCTGAAAATTGCCAGCGTAAGTATTGTTGCTAAATTGAGTATTCATATACAGTATAGTATCCTGTAATTTTACTTTTGGTTGGACTATATTCTTTGACCCAAGATTCACGACAAGGCAAGGATAAAGGGATATGTCTGTTTGTCTGCACCACACCACATGGGTTTGTAGGTACTGCTAAAGCATGGTCATGGGGGCTAATTTTGATATTTGCTTCTTACATACTTGAGAAATGTAAACAGCGATGTCTCAAAGTACTCAACCTTAACTTTATTACTTCGATACAGAAATTCCATGATATTAAACAACCTCCTAGCGTGCTCTCAAACTTCTTCGATTTGATTTTTCCGGTTGAACTTAGAAACATTTTCTACTAATGCATTCTTTTGTTTTGGTTCTTTGTCCCCCTTAGTGTACATCTATTGAAACTTGCATTCTTAATTTATTATTTCTATTGTGGTTCTGATATTGAAGAAAACAGTTTTGTAGATGTTATACAGAGCTGTTGTAAATGAAATAAACAATCAGGCTATAGTTCCCATGTAAAATTTAAAGCTTTGATACAATTGGATGACTCAAATTTGGATTAGTATTGTCAACAGCAGGAAAAAAAAAAAAGGCAGTGTATGTGGAAAAGCAGCGTCTCTTTATTCCAATGTATGGTAATTTGCTGAATTGTGTTTAGTGAGACGTGCAATGAGGTGATGATATGCTAATTAGACTCCGTTTTCCAAATCTATGCTCTAGATTTGCGGATTAATGGACAAATTTGCCTGCCAAATGGGTCTAACACTGTCATTTTCTGAAGTCCTCAAGTTTTTGGGCATCTTAGATTTAAGGAAATTGATTTGGTTGAGTCTTTTTTAGCATGCGTTTGTCTTTGTGTAGGCTAGGGCTACTAGTTGTAAGGGTGATGATATGATGCATTAAAGACCATATTGTAGGTGGAGTTTTGAGTTGTCATCTCTTAATTGTTTCAAGCAAGGGGACTTATGATGGCTAAAAACAAAAAAGAATTGTCCTTTTGGTTATAAACTCTGCTTACTGTATAATGGAAAGCCTCTGTTCCCACTGAGTGTTTTCTTTTTCTCTTGCCAACATTGGTGCTGCACCCTGCATTAGAGCATGTTTGCAGTACTGTAGCCTGCAGGTTTGGGAAATTTGTTTGTAGACTATAGGCGTGCTGATGTATTGCAAATGGTTACTGTTTCTTTAGCACACTTTCCATAGTCTTGATGTGGGTTTTGGCATTTTTCTGTTTGGTTTTGTTTTGATAACATTGATAGAAATAGTACTGTTTACAGAATGTATTTAAAGGAAGGTTTGGAGAGTGACTTCATTCTCTGTTATGCAGATTATTTGCTTTGAGTTATTTAAGTCTATCAAGCATCGTTCATTGCATGGCTGCCTGTTTCTGCATTACCACAACTCAGAATCAACTGCTTAATCCCAAATTAGCAGGGGCAGGCCATATGAATCCTTTTCTTTATTCCATATATTTAATGTGACATTATGTGGCGAATTCTTTGACATCAAATCATTTTAATGCAATTCAACTCATAACTTTTGGTCTATCGTTATTTTTTTTTTCCTAACTTGTATCAAATCATTGGCTCCTTTGTACCAGTGCATCTGTCAGCATATGCATGGTACCTTTATCTTTCTCTTAAGTTGTACTTAACAGGACTGGACCTATCCTTTGAGGACTGATTTTTTTTTAAGGTCTATTTTGGTTTATGTCTCACGGTTTTTGGATTCGTCTTTAATTTTGTTGGATTTTGTGATTTTCTGTTTTTATGTTTAATATGTTCTATTTTCTTATCAAGAGGGAGAAAAGGAATGCTAAAATTTGTGATTTGCTGTATGCAGGGTGGAATACCTTATTATTCCTCTGGGGGGTTTTCAAAGGAAGAAGAGCAAACTCTTCAAATTCCTCAAAGAATGCATGCATTCCTGATGCAAGCATGGTACATTTGGAGAGGGAGATATCTGCTGATATTACTCAGCTAGTAGATAATGAATCAGCTGCATGTGACAATACATGTAATGTAGCCCTAGTAGCCAGTGTGGTTGGAAAGGCATGTATATCAACAGATAGAATTGGTGATAATGAGGCATTTGTGGGAATACAAGCAAAATTGAAGGAGCAAGATGGTAAAATTGACACCAAATTCTTGTCGAGAATTGCAACAAGCAGCACACAGGTGCATCCAGAAATGAAATGCACTAGTTCTCTGGTAATGTGTTCTGTCAATATATATTACTTAAAAAAGGCTGTCAAGTTCATCTTGTTGCTATAGTTGATTGCTTATATTTATTATGCCTTTATTTACTAATATTCAACCCTACAATCAGCTATAGGGTATTATTTATTTAGTGACATAATCAAATCAATCAGGAATTAATATATTCCAAGTCAAGAAAGTAGTAATCTGATTTATGTTGCAAAATGCTTATAAATTTACATTTTGGTCTCTGATTTTATTCAGTTTCTTAGTTTGTGGAGGAATGTTGTTGGTTCTCTTTTCTAATGTTAGTGCTGTTAAAGTTTATTTTAAGGTTCATTTATGTGAATTCTCAACCTTCTAAATATTTCATTGGCCCCAATTGAAATTTTACTGGATGGTGTTGCCCTGTTATAGCTTTGCACATCCTCACTGAAGTCAACAGGAAGTTAAATTCCATGCAGTCGTGGATTTTTCCGTTTCTGTTTTCTTTGTTTGTATCTCTTCAATGTGAACTTTCTTACTATGATGGGCAGCAGGTGGCTTTCTAACTGTTATTGATTAAAGGCGGAATGTTTGCCTGTGCATTGGGCTGTTTTTTATTTTAATTTTAATTTTTCTATTTTTTTTCTAATGGATGATTAATTGGATTGGTTGTTTTTTTGTCCTGTTATCAGTGCATGGGTGCAATATTTGGCTTTGTATTTGTCCTTTTTTTTGGATAAGTGTTTGGCTAGTTACTTGGACTGGTGCATGTTGTTTCTTCTCTTCCCTCTCTGCCCTACTGCTCCCAAAAGGAAAAAACGAGTCACCCAATGTTTCTTTTAGGGTGGGTGTTGGCACGTTTATTATCTGTGGACCTCATTAAATTGGTTTATGCTATATTAGAATCCTTGAGCCTCTTTGCACTAATCAGTGTTTTGTCTCAAATATTAATTATTTTCTCGTATTTTTCTTAATAACTTGTTATCAATTAGCTATGTATTTTAAGACTGATATCTAATATATTTTAAGCTATGTATTCTTAATATCTAATATATTTTCTTTTCTGTTTGAGACTATTTTGTGTATTCAAACAATTTGGCTAGATAGGAACGTTTTAAGACTAAAGAGTTTGGGCCATTTATATGGGAAAAAATGTTTTGGATCACAATTCTACCGAGTTATGTATACTGAGCAGATAATTGTGATCCTGACCTTCATCAGAAGGATCAATAGTGTCTGAAGTCCTTCAAGTTAACCACCTGGGAAGGACTCGTAATCATTGAAACTTTATTTTGTTTATTTATTTATTTTTTTGTGAGGTGGGGAGGGTGGGGGTTGGTTGAAAGAAGTGTTAATATTTGATATTGTGAGTTGATTTGTTGACTTGTGTGTTGAGTTTGTATTGTATTATTTGAACTTGTTGCATTTGTTTTTAGGCAAACAGGACAAAAACAAAAACTCCTTCATACAAATGTTGACTTGCACCATTATATTGCAGGACAAGAGCAAAGTTCCAGATTGTAGATTCGACACAGAGCTCAAATCTTGCCTTCAAGCTGCTGAAACCAATAGTGTTTCTGTCATAGTTGAGAAAGAGGAAATGCATGTACCAGAAGATTATCCATCTTTAAAAAATCACCCTACTGGACAGCAAGAGGCAGTTGTGGGGAAGATTGATGGAGATTCTGTTAAAATTAGGGATTTGAATGATGATGGGTATGCTGATGGAAAAAATTCTTCAAAGAGAGATCTTGACTGTTGGCAGCAGAATTATCGGAAACGCTCATGCTTGGATCTTACAGAAACAGTTTCAGAAATTTGTACTGATACAATTCAAAAAATGCCATGGAGTGAGGTGAAGAGAGTTTCTATAGATGGAGGAAGTGACAATAAAATGCTGAAGACAGGTTCCAGTGGAATATACCAATATAGCAGTGCTAGAGATCAAGGTCCTTTTGGTGATAGTTTAGCATCAGACAGACATGATCTGGGTTTTGGCTCTTCTGTCGAAGATAAGAGGTGTGACATTGCTTGTGAAGAAAAAGTTATCCCTGAGGACATGGGAAGTAGTGAAAGGTTCTTCTTTCCTATGGATTCACATCGGGCAAGGGAACTTCAGTTGGGGAACAACTCTAAACCCTGGAAGGAGCTCTCTGTAAAAGACGAGGACCAAGTCCACTATGCCTCTCCTAATCTTGAGCTTGCCTTGGGGGCCGAGACGAGATCACCAAACAAGGGGATCCTGCCTTTCTTTGTTGGAAAAGTAGACAAAAATGACAACCAGGACACGCCCATGGATAAGGTAACAGGAAAGGAAGAGGAGGATGATGAATCTGCCTCCCTTTCCCTTTCCCTCTCATTCCCATTTCCTGAAAAGGAACGGAATGTGAAGTCTGTTTCTAAAACAGAGCAGCTGCTCTTGCCCGAGAGGCATCCTGTGAATACTTCCCTGCTACTGTTTGGGGGCTTCCCTGACAAATAGGCTCATGGTGATCCTAGGTTGTTTATGCATTTCTTTGCCCTACATGAAAGTGGTAAAAATGTATACCAGGTCACTAGCTCATGTACAATGGCCTAGCATGCAGCAGCTTTGTAGGAGAAACCCACATTCCATCTGTTCATATAACCCACACAGAACTTAGCAATAACTTTTCTCTCCTTTTTTTGAGTGCATAGACATAGTCACGGCTGTTTGTATATAAAGAGAATGAAAGCCGGTTTACTTCAAAATATCTCACAAGAAATTTGCAAACCAATGCTTTGATCTGGAGGAATTTTATTTTCATTTCGGTTTCCTTTTTTTTTTCCCTCACTACCATTCCTTTACTGCTTTGAATGGTTTATTAGCAGGGTATTAGGGAATTGGCTGATGATGGATTGGTGGGAACTGGGGAATGAAGCAAACCAATAATTTTTAGAGGCCAAGCAGTGCAGTGGTGTGAATATTGAATTGATTTGGTTCTATTAGCTGGCAGATCATAAAGGCTTTCTCAAGCTTACCCATTCCGTCGTTTCATCTTGTTGCTGCCTATGTAAAAAATGTTGGACTTTGGCTAAGTGAGAATGGGAAGATTACCCACCCGCAGGGGACAAAGAAATTACATGCATAATGTAACTTTTTAAGAGTTTGATCAACTTGCATGTTGTTCGAGTTTTATCTGAGTTAATATTAAGTTGTTATTAGGTTCATTATACTTGAGTTTGATTTTTCATAATAATTTGACCATATTCAAACATTTTAAAAGAAATTTATTAATTATATATCCTTAAAAATTAAATTCATTCAAGTATTGAGTTTTAACTTTAATTCATATAAATCATTTAGTTTTTCGTTTCAAAATTAATGGAATTGGTGTGAGTTATGATTTGGGTGGAATTTATCGTAGATTCAGGTCAATTTTGAAAAAGGTATAAATTGCACCCAACTCTGAAAGAAATGACACAAAGAAGGTTGTAACATTTAGATCTGGATCCAGTGAACCCAAAAAAGTTTTACTATATTGTATAGCATAAATTCTTTTTTTGTTAATGTTAAACTAAAGTTTTGGATTTAATTTTATTTTGATTCAAATTAGTATAGATTTAATTTTGATCTAATGACAAAAAATATAAGATTTACATTAATGTAAATGGATTTAAATCAATGAAATTGAACGTACAATAATAAATTTCAACGAAATTGAAATACAGTTATAAAATTCAACATTAACTCAAAATATAGTGGCAAAATTTATCTTTATTTAATTATTTTTTGGAACTTAAAATTGAAATGAAGTTAAAAAATGGTTTCGGCTAGAAAAAAAAAAAGCTAATAAAATAATAATTGGCAGTCAGCAGAGAGGGCGGATCCATCAAAGCGTTAACTTTGGGCGTAACAATACAACTCGTGGTTTTATGGCCGGGATTTTTAAGAGGCCTTTCAATTTTTTTCATTCCTTTAATACCCTTCGCAGTCTTTCTTAATCTCAACGGAGTCCTATTTGCAAAAATTGCTACTAACATCTGCCTTCATCTACTTATGGTGAGACCTTCTCTAATTTAAATTGCTAGTATTTTCATTTACTTTTTCATTCTCAATGAAATATACTTTTATCTTTTTCTAAAATTTATTTAGATGAGTATTGGGTTGGTTTTGGTAAAATTAAAATAGTTATGAAAATAAGATCAATTTATTATAAGGGTGAGATGAGATATGTACTTAAATGTAAAAAATAGCAATAAGAATTGTAATAATAAGAGAAAATATTTATTAAGTATATTAAATTAAAAATTATATATAATAAAAAATTTTAAAATATTTAATATTTATAAAATTAATAAATCATTAGATTTTTTTATGTTAAATAATAGTTTTGTTAATAAATAATTAAAATTAATTTATATATTTATCATATAATAATAAAATTTATTTATTATTTCATAATTTTTTAAAAATTTAAATGAAAAATGATAAGTGAAAAAATAAGTTGTAAGAACATTTTGTCTCAACAACTTAAATTGAAGAGTTAAAAAAGAAAAAACAAATAAAAATGTAGTTCTCAACTAGATCAATATAGTCCGGTAAGCAATCGACAAAATTTGAATAATGCTGCACACGAAAATTTGGGAAAAATAACTTAAAGATATTTTATAACATAATTAAAATCATTCTTTTTCATAAAACAATTATAAATTAAAAAACTTTTAACTATGAATTTTTAAAATGATTTTGAATTTGAGTTTAATGTAGCAATGAAATTAATATATATAATTTATTTTTTTATATATTGATAATATATATTTTTTTAATTTTACAAGTGGTATTTAAAAAGTGTCACATGTCTCATTTTTTTTAATTAATTTTTAATATATTTTAAAATAAACGTGTTGTTGTGTTAATTATATTTGCGAAGTATAAAAACTTCAATCTCAATGGATGAAATAATTTCTCAATGTAAAATTATATTTAAAAATAAAAACTATAATTGCAATTAAAAATCACATTGTATATTAAACTTAATGAAATAGATAAATAAAAAAAATAATTTAAATAAATTCAATATAAAAAAATAAATTTACGTAGGATGAAACTTGAACCTGATATTTAAAAATTTAAAATCTTTTACTTGCCATCCATGCAAGAAGCCATTGTTAAAATTAGAATATATTAATTTTCTACACATTTGAGATTTAATTCAAAAGTCAAGTTCAAATATAGTTGATTTAATTTGATAAAATTTTACTTCAGGTAAATGATTTAAGCTTAATAGAATAGATTTAGATTACAAAAATGAAATCGAATTTTAAATTTAAACTTTTAAAGTAAATTAAAAACGAATACCATGAAAAGTACGAATTTGATATACGGACAAAAAAAAAAAAAAGAAAGGGAACAAAAAACTTAGTGTGAAAAAAAAAAAAAAAAACAATTGGTCAAGCCAACCGGAAAGATGCGATCATCCGCAGCCGATAAAAAAAATAAATAAATAAAAAAAACACCTGAAATCCCTCTTATGTGTATACTTGTTTTAACATTTCCCGTTAATGAACTGAAGTTGACTGAAAATGTCCTTGTATTAGTGCATTTGTGTTCTGGAGAAAAGAATTAATTATCCCTTATTTACATTTAAAGGGGTGTCAGAAAAATCAATTTGCATGGTTCATCTGTCTTTTAACTGCATCATGTCATGTGCTGTTTCTCTTTTTCTTCTTGTCTTGCCATAGTAGAGCCATAACTGGGATTACTACCCCAAGGACACCCATCATATTTTGCATGGAGGTGATGAAATGTTATCTACTGTTCTTTTCTGTCATGCGTTGTCCTTCTTTTTTTTTCCAGTTTTTCATGTGAAATTTTGGTTATTGAGGTCGGATTCTCAGCTTTTAATTTGTTGTTTTGATTTAGATTAGGAGATCCCTGCTAAATGAAGATGAATACGGATTCCGGAAGGCAAAACGACTAATTTACTATGATGATGGTTTAGAGGTAATTAGGTTCTACTTCGTTTGCAATTTGTCCATTGATGCATGCTATTATCTTTATACTGATTCAGGATGTTTCTTGCTTATTGAAAGCAGAAAACCAGGCAGACCCTGAGTTAAAAAATCAGCCAACTCAATCCTGCCATTGACAATGTATCCTCACGTTTGAGAGGTGGCAATAATTCACCAACTGTGCCAGTTGAAACGGACCCTGAAGTAGAAGCGACTATGTGAGGAACACGTTTGTTGCTTAGTCATGAAGTTGAGTTTCAGTGATTGTCGGTTGCACATGCTTGTATAACGAATTCCAATTTGCAGTGTTTAAAAATTTTATATGGGATAATGCAGTTTTGATATTATGTTAATTTTGTTGTTTTTTTGATGTTTCGGTTTCAAAACATTAGTGTAATGCTTCAGCACAATTCTCTTGTTTTTTTCTCTTTGAGAATGCAAATTAGAGCAGTGAGTTGTCTTTCTTTCTTGAGCATTGCCATTCTAAAGCCTTAAATTTTAAGCCACACTTTTCGATTGTTTAGCTTTAGCAGCATTAACATGAGCAGTAGAGAGATCTCAAAGTGCAAAGGTTCCTTACCTGCTACAGTTCTTTCGGCCATAAATATTATAGGTTGTTGTAAATGGGAGTATTTCACCTACAATTTTTTTTTTTTTTTACTATAATCCTTCAATTCCCTTCGTAAACACAGAGCCATGATTTCAATGTTTGGTACATGAATTCACCCTAGGTAGAGGCAGGAAACATTAAGACCTCAATGAACCGCAGGAAACATTACTGTCAATGAAACATGAATTAATTCTAGGTAGAGGCAGGAAACATTAAGACCTCGATGAACCAGGAACTGTCAAAGATATTGAAAAAGGAAAGGATGAAAAAATAAATTAAGGCTCAACCAGGATTGAACCGGTGACCTTTTCATCTGCAATTAAATACTTTACCACTGAGCTATAGACTCTTTATTCTATTATAAATCAAAAAATGATTTATTTTGTATAAATTAAATAATTTAATCTTTGCAAGGTATTTATGGCTTACTATTCAAAAGTAAAAGATGCCATTATCATTAAAACTAGAATTAAAATTATATATATGTCATGTGATTATTGAAAGTATATATTGTAGAGAAGTATAGAGGGTTCCTTCATATGTAATTAGAAACTTGTTGATGACTTAAAGGAGAAAGGAAATGTTTAAGCTGCAAGTCCTTTGCCTATCAGAAAAAACTTAAAGAGCGCCTTAAACAGGGCGAACTATTATAGAACTAAAGGCTTAAGGAAAAATAGAAGACAAAGACACGCTTAAGTTGTTACTTGTATCAATCAAATCTTGACCAGAACCTTGACACAATCTGGTTGCTTCAACAGCTGAAATGCTTTGTTTATATCTTCTAGCTGAACTTCATGGGTCAAGAGTTCATCAAGATGGATTTCCTGTGGAGAAAAGAAGCATATATTGTAACAAAAAAATTCCTTTCATGTATATATCTGTGAGTGTATTCATTTCAAATAATAAGATACTGCAATATCTTGGAAAGTAATTTTGATTCTGAAATCTGGACCTCATTTCTGCATTTTTCGAGTAGAATGGGAACGTCAGATATGGTTTTTAGGCCTCCAAAAATACACCCCTTTAAAGTTCTGCCACAAAGAAGGGGTAGGAAATTTATCTGCAGGCTTAGATGATCTCCTGCGCCAATCAGGATGGTTTTTCCTATTCCCTATCCACCAGAAAGTACATCAAAATCTTGGAAAATATCCATCCAACACCACAAAATGGTGGATTTGCATGTATATATATATATATATATATATAGAAGTATGATTTATAGCATCACAACACAAAACCATGTACATTACACATACCACTTTTGTGGATTCAATGGCTTCATTGAGCAAGGGTGCAACCCCAGTGCACTCAAAGCTATAATCCACGCCCTTTCCATCAGTTAGGTCTCGAACTGATTCGCAGATAGGCTTATCGGAATCATCAGGGTTTATAAAATCTGTCATTCCAAAAACTTTTCCCTTTTCATTTTTTCTAGTATTCTTGTCTATACCAATTATTTTAGTTGCACCTTGAATTCTAGCTCCCTCAACGACCTGCAAATTTAAGCACAATTTCCAATTGTTTAATGTTCAGACATGTTCAGCAGTATATATTTCATTAACAACTAATAGTGAACCTTGATGATTGAAACCTCTGGAATATATAACCAAAGCCTGAAAAATCATACCCCTAATCCAACAGTTCCAAGACCGAAAACAGCTACGGTTGAGCCCTCCTCAATCTTAGCCTCTTTCCAAGCTGCCCCAAATCCAGTTGAATATCCACATGAAAGGAAGCTAGCATGCGAAAGAGCTATGCTTGGATCAACCTTGACAACATAGTTGGCATTTATAACCATATATTCAGACCAAGTTGCACAGGAAAATGTGTGGTACAAACTTTGGCCTTTGATGGACATTCTTGAAGTGCCATCAAGCATCAGGCAGTCCAAGGCTAACGGGTATTTTAGGCATAAATTAGTCTTCCCGGATGTGCAACTCTCACATGTTTGACACTCTGCAACATAGGTTGGGATCACAATATCTCCTTGTTTTAGTCCATCGACTTCCTCACCAATGCTCTCCACCATCCTGCAATTGCATAACGAACATTTGTAGATTATCAAAAACTACTAATTGGACTGCAAGTAGTGGATTCAGAATTTCTTTTCCCGGAGAATTTTCAATCTTTGGGCATGGACACCCTACTTCAACATATAGATCCGCCCCTGACTACGGTAAGTATTTCGCATTTTTTGTTCAATGAAAATCTCTCTCTCAAATGCTTGCCATGTTGATTGAAATTCATACGATGTACGGAATATAAACGGCGGACTTACCCGACTCCTTCATGCCCCATGACTCGAGGGAAAAGAGGCTGATGGAAGGCAAAGAAAAACCCATCAATAAACATTTCAGATGACCGATATCAAGAAAAATGATGAGAATTAAATTGTTATGGAAGGAAAATCAATGAGGAAAAATACTAACCATTGGGAATCCTCTGGTGGACAATATGTCAGTGTGACAAAGACTGGCACATAGTATTTTAACTCGAACTTCAGATGATTTTGGTGGTTCTACTTGTATCTCTTCCACCTTCAGTGGCTCCTCTTTTCCCCAACATACTATTGCTGCCATGTTATTTCCAAGGAAAGCATAAGAGGGAGAGAGATAGCAGACTTACAATAAGTGAAACTAAAATTCCATAATTTTGAATGTCAGTGGAACAATAATAACTTAACAGTTCAAATTACCTTTGCATGTTATGACTTGTGAGCTGCTGTGTGACATTGTTAGGCAATGGCTTTGCTGGTGTTGAACTTAATAGTTGAATTAATGGTGGCTTCAAAAAAGAAACTAACAAAAATAAAAAGGTTGTTGCAGAATCTCTATCTGCAAAATCCATACACATATAAACAAATAAAGCCGCCGGTAAAGTTCCAGGGAAAAACAAAAGAAAGAAAGAAAGCCTCTTGTCGTATATGAAAAATAAAACCTTAAATATATTAGATGATTCACAGCTAGATTAAATCCAAGCCCATTATTAATGGTGCATTGGATTAAGTGCAAGTATTTTACGGACAATATTAATTAGCTGTCCAAGAACTACATATTTCCCAGATTTTATGGTGAAAGGAAAAAAAAAATACAGCCAAGCTTACTAAAAATCACAATCAGATATGTCCAGTTTCTTAAATTTACTTCACTCTATTATGTAAGAGTCTAATTCAATTAGATTTGTTGGATAAACAAAGTTTTAAGACAAATTTAAGTTGTCAAATTTCCATTATAATTTATAAAAAAAATGGTAAAATGATAATGTTAAAAATAAAAAATTTACAAATTTAGTATCCTATATAATTGATTAAATAAAACTTAAAAAATAAAAATATTCATAAAACCAGTTAAATAAATGCATAATATATTCTTATAATTAAAAATAATTTTTTAATGAATTTTTTTTTTAAAGTATCATACAGTCAACATCCGCACCAAGCCAACATTGTCTAATCTCAAATTTCAATCTCACCACCATTGTTATTTTAATTTCATAGTTGTCAATGTTATGATGTGTTCTAATGGAGTCGTTTGTCATTTACAAGGACGGATAATTAAAAAACTACATCTGTCCATCGTCATTGGAAGTTCGACTGGCCCAATTGATTCAAATCAATACAAAATTTCCAATCAACAAAGGGTCCACTGACTAATAAGAGATGAAGTGGATAGAACCTACCCGGAAAAACACAATAAAAAAAAACAGATGATCCATAATTGCATTCTTCCTTTAATGTCAAGGTAAGTAATACCCGATTATTTCATTTTAATGATTTCAGTTTCGACCATCTACCCAATTTAGGTAGGGGGGATTGAATTAATTACTAGAAAAAAATATGATTATAATTACGAGTAAATTATACCCATTCATATACGGCGAAGTACGTTTACCTTTTTTTTTATTTTTTATTTTAATTCATTACCGACTTAATCGTGGAAGAGATTTTTGGGCCGTATTGGATTGAAAATGCATCAAGGTTGATTTTAGAACCAGATTTTAGCTCGAATATTTCCCTTCAATTACTCTCCATTTGAATTTTAAAAGCTTGATTTTTAGTTTTGTATCAAATCTTGTGTGTATCTCTATTTAAAAAAAAAATGAAAAAGATAATTCGTGTTGGCATTGAAGAGTTAATTGTGAATTGATTGATTTTACGTATAAAACGCTCTTGATTCCCCATGTCATTTTCTTCCTTGCCGATTGTCCACACTTCTAATTTTGCTATCTTTGTATGCCACAAACTTCTTATCTCTCTCTCTCTCTCTCTCTCTCTCTCTCTCTATATATATATATATATATAATATTATAAAGGTTTTTTTTTTGTTTGATTGATATTTGAGAGAATCATTATAAATTTTAATTATTAAAATTAAAAATAATGACTGCAGACAATTCTCAAAGCTTTTGAGCCTAATCACCATTTTTAAAGTTAAAAATTGAAGCAACAACTCCGACCATGGTACATATAAGTAACAATTTTGAGATGTAAACAACTTTATTAAATGTAAAAATTAACGAGGAAATGTAACGAAAGATATAAAAGAGAAAAGACTTGTCAAGAAAAAAAAAACAGAGAGAAAGAATTGATATTGGTACTTGTAAATCTTGGATGTCAACACTGTGTTTATGTTGTAATTATCAGTATATTTGATTTGTAACTCTTGTCAATCAAATCTTGATCAAAACCTTGACACAATCTGGTTGCTTCAACAACTCAAATGCTTTGTTTGCGTCTTGCAGCTGAATTTCATGGGTCAAAAGTTCATCCAGCTGGATTTCCTGTGAGAGATCACTCATTAATTAGATTACGAACATTTATGATTGTGGGTAAAAGAAGAAAGACATTGCACCCCCTTCTCATTGGCCAAAAAAAGTAGAGTACTCACCCTTTTTTTACATTTTTCATATATAATTGGAAGGTCGGATTTGGCTTTGAGCCCTCCGAAAATCGTCCCCTTCAAGGTTCTCCCAAGGAGTAGGCCTATAAAGTTTATGTTCACACTTAAATTTTCTCCTGCTCCGATCTGTATGATTTTTCCGGCTCCCTGACCATAACAAATTTAATAAAAAAAAATTTAGATAAGACGTCATATCTCCAACCATATATCTTAATTATTAAAACTTGATATTTTAATTTGAAATTTTCAAATTTGAAACTGACATTAGAAAAGTATACATGTAAAGAATAATTACCTCTCGTGTATAATTTAAAATTATATATATTAAATGTTTAATTTAAAATCAATTGATACTAATTGAAGAGATTTAACTAAAAATTTAAGATTATAGAAAATTAAAACTTAAAACATGTCAAATAACATCAGTTTAAAATGCCCCAACACACTAGTCTTAATTATTACGTGACAAACTTATAAAAAGTGTAAGATAAAATCACTAACACAATTTGGTTGATGAAGTATTAAATATCTAATTCAAAATTGATTGACAATAGGTAAAGGTATTGAGCAACAAACTTAAGATTTAATAGATGTGTTATAATATTATTTTAATAATATATATATATATATAAAATATCTTGAAAAGTAATTGAAATATTAAAAAATCATATATGATATTGATATATAATTAAGTTGTATATGTATACCAGTTTTGTGGCTTCAATGGCTTCATTGATGAGGGGTGGAAACCCAGTGCATTCAAAGCTGTAGTCCACTCCCATTCCACCTGTTAAATCTTTGACTAATTCGGCAATAGATTTATCAGATTCTTCAGGATTTATAAAATCTGTCATTCCAAAAGCTCGTCCCTTTGCTTCTTTCATTGGGTTCTTGTCTATACCTATTACTTTAGTCGCACCTTGACTTTTGGCTCCGTTGATGGCCTGCAAATTAAATAAATATATAATCAAGGACAAATTGTTTTTTGTTTCCCGATTATTTTAGATATTTTTCAGATTTGAATTACAATTGTTTAATTAGTGAGTCTAGAACACACTCAATAATTTCTCTTCTGTGATCAAGGTTAAAAAATTCCTTCTGTTACATTCATGCACCTTCTATTTAATACAATATTTTGAATATGGACTTTTTTTTAATAGAGAAGGTTGTAATTTAAGGATAAAAAAAGAATTATTGATATTAAAATTTTAATTTTAATCTGTCAGATGACATTGCTTAAAAAATCATTAGATAAATTAATTAATTAAATTTTGGATGTAATATGAATTAATCAATCTGGGTTTGGTAACTATATTTTACAGAAAAAAAAATAGTAGGAGGGTAACTTTGTGAAAATATTTACCCCTAACCCAACAGCTCCAAGACCGAAAACAGCCACAGTTGAGCCCTTTTCAACCTTGGCGTCCCTCCAAGCTGCCCCATAACCCGTTGAAAATCCACATGAAAGGAAGCTAGCATCCGAACGTGGAATGGTGGCGTCAATCTTGAGAATAAAGTTGACATTGATGACCATGTATTCAGACCATGTAGAGCAGGAAAATGCATGGTATGCAGTTTGGCCTCCAATGGACATCCTCGAAGTGCCATCAAGCATTAACCCATTGTAGCTTAAGGGGTATTTTAGGCATAAATTGGTCTTTTCAGACATACAATTCTCACATGTTTTACATTCTGCAACATAGGCTGGAATCACATGGTCTCCTTCTTTTACTTCCGTCACGTCTTCTCCAATGCTCTCCACCACCCTGCATTTTTGCCAATTGGTACTATTTTGAAATTATTGTAATACGCAACCAAGATCATTAAATTATTATATATGCATGTGCAGATCAGGATTTGCTGGTTACTTTCATTATTAATCTGGTAATTTATATATTAATGTCATAATTATTTTATATTAAATACGTATAAAATATAAAATAATCCTATTATAATTTATATGAATATATTAAAAATGAATATATATTTTAATTTTTTTTTCACATTCATATTATTTTTTATCAAAACTTTAATTAATATTATTTTTATTTTATTTTTTATCGTATTAATTGTATTGTATCCAAAATTATTATACTAACAAGACTAGATGGAAAAGAGACACTGAAATATGAAAAAATATGCATGTGGGTATATAGAAACAAAAGACTTACCCGACACCTTCATGCCCCATAACTCGAGGAAAAGAAGGCTGAAAGGATGGACAAAATTATAAACAACAAAATGTCTACCGACAGAGCTAAAGATAAAAAACTAAACGAATCAAGAATAGATTGAATTAAAATGAGGAAGAGGAGAACTAACGATTGGGAATCCTTTGGCAAACAATACATCAGTGTGACAAACACTGGCATATAGCATTTTAACTCGAACTTCGGATGATTTCGGTGGCTCTACTTGTATCTCTTCCACCTTCAATGGCTCATCCTTTCCCCAACTTACAATGGCTGCCATATTATTTCAAACCACAAGCATCGGAATTGAGTCATATCAACAAAACAGGAGTAGGAATATACAAACTACTGTTTCGAATATAAAATCACTAAATTAAAACGAAAGTTGAGTCAATCCCTCGATGATATCAAAATTTATATAATCTAAACTTTATATATGTGTGTGAAACGGATGCATGGTTTATAATAGAACTACAAACAGAGAGTTACCTTTGCATGTTATGACTTGGGAGCTAGTCTTCGCCATTGTTGGAAGCAAAGAGTATGGAGGGGGTAAAGCAGCTAACAATTAACAATTGCGTTTAGTTTGAAGATGGAGTGATAAAAAAATGTGGCCGTGGTTATGCATATTTATAAGCAGTACCTGTCAGCCTCACGTGCAGCCAAAATAAATAAATGCCATTGACTTCAATACATTGTATATATTCAAACAACTTGGTCGACAGAAACGAGTTATTCCTTTTTTCTTTAAGAAAAAAATAAAAGAAAAAGATAAACACCATTTAAATTTCTTCCTTCTTTTTTTTTAGGTGAAGAGAAAATAGGAAAGATAAAAAAAAAATGTTTTCTATTGGTAATATACACAAAGATTAAAAGTTGGCGAAAAATAGTTTTCTTTTCCTTTATTATTGCGAGAGATGGAAATGAAAAAAAACTACCATTATACTCTTTACAAGTTAAGATTAAAAAAAGTCAAATTTAGATAATTACAACTTTTTCTTTCCCTCTTTTTTTTTTCTTTTCAGTTTAGAATGATTTGATTTTGTGAAAATGGGTGAAAATGGTCATTTTTCTAATTTCTTTTCTCACTTTTCCCCATCCTTTATCCATACTTTCATTTTTTTTACTTTTCTAAATATACCCTAAAACTTTGGTTAACATTATAAATAAATCGAATATGAACAAATGAATGTATATTTATAGTTTGTTTATTTATTTTTTAATATATTCGAGTTTGATTTATATTCAATAAAAAAATTACACTATTCATTCGTTCAGTTTGTTTAAATATAAAATATTTATATTTGGTTCATATTCAACTAAACTAAGTAAAATAAACTTTTTCGTAAATATTAAACGAATGTGTTCATAAATGATAAATAAATCATAACTAAATAAATTTAAACAAACGAACTTTAAATAAATATAAATGAACCCAAATAAATATAAATGAACCTTAAAATAAAATTAAAATAAATGATAAAAATGAAAATTTATTATTAATATTATTATAAATGAATAATAAATGAATCTTAAATAAATTTGTTTTCGAATATAAATAAATCAAATATAATTCTATTCATATTTGATTCGCTAAATAAATAAATATAAAAATTTTATTCAAGATAATTTGTTAAGCGTAATAAACAAATATAAATGAATAGAAATTGAATGTATTCATAAATAATTTGTCAAAAACCTTATACATTTATATTCCTATTGTTGATTAACAGAATTAATAGAAAAATTTTAAAAATGAAAAAATTAGAGCGAGGGAAAAGTGAAAATAAAGAAAACATTTTTTCTTCCTATTGATATACTTAGCAGGAAACATAGAAAAGTAAAATGAAAAATTAAATTTTCATAAAAAAATTCTTTCTATATTTTGCTTGGTAGCAATGACCGAACCTTTGTCAGAGCTAGCTGGGGACTTCTTGTTTCTTTGAAAATTTTAGTTTGCAATGGATATATTTTTATTTGTATAATTTTGTTAGTGTTGTAAGCATCTTTGTAGCAGGCTCTATCCTTGCTGTCTTGGATAAATAAAAATAATGTCATTATTTAGTGTCGTAAGCATCTTTGCAGCAGGTTCTATCCTTGCTTTCTTGGATAGATAAAAATAATGTCATTATCAAAGAAAACAATGACCGAATCCGAAATTTTATTCAGCCGAATTAATAAATTAATATAATTCAAAATTTTAGAATGAAGTCTCTTATTTGGAAATAGATTTTCTAAATTAATTTCAATATGTGTTTGCTTTAAACATTGATGAGTATTATCAAAATGATTGATTTTTTGAATTAAATTTAGTTGCTCCAATATTAATTTTTGAATTTTAAATTTAATGAATATTATATCTTAAGAGTTATTATATAAATTAATTAAATTAAATAATTAAATCATATAAAAAATTAGATCTATAATAAAATTGCATTAAAAAAATAATGATACATATAAAATAACGGGTAAAATTGTCAACAAATAGGCAAGTGTGTAGAGACATCTAAACAATAATAGCGGCTTTCATACGTGATATTAATTAATGCATAAGGCTGCAAGCAAGCAATTTTGAATTGAAATTAAATTTAGAAACTATAAATTAATCATGTTGAAATTGAATATAGTGAAAACAACGAAAGTCGAATTCAGATTCAATAATATATGATAACGATTTGCTAACGACAAATGATTATTGTTAATTGTTCCTTCTCTATTATTCATAACTAGTAGCTTGCTAGCGCTGCTGTGGGGTTTGTTTAATTTTAATTTTAAATATTAAAATATTTCTTTTGCAGTTTATCATATATTTTCATTATGAGACATTGAATATCAACAGCAATACTGTGATTTTGGACGACAATAACATGCTTGATTTTTCAACATGTGAGATGCACTTAATTTATACGTGATCTGAGCATTAACATGGGGACGCATGGCAGCTATCTCTTCATCTGATGCATTAGTCATATATTCACCAATCTCCGCCATCTGTTTAGGATGTGTGCACTTTAACTGTTTTACAGCATGTCTCAATTCTTCAGGCCTCATGTTCTTCAAGCTTTTTGAGGCCATTCGCATCAAATCAGGATTAGACATCATATGAAATGACATTGAATCCACAATAATAGCAACCATTAATGTTGATTATACCAAAAAAAAAAAAAATTCAAGTACAATCTAATTATTTCTTCAATTTCACTTCATTTAACGTGTGAAATATTTTGATTTAGTGGTGATACTGGTAACATCCTTACTTTATAACCAATATAGCTAAAATCCGTTAACTCATTACTAAATCTCACAAATTATAGGATAAAATAATTTTATTTCTAAATGAAAAGAAATTTAGATATATTAGCAAACTAATTATTAGCAAAAACAACAGACTAATTATGCACCAGAAAAATAAAAAAATAGACAACTATTGTGGCAGAGACTTACTTTCTTCTTGAAGAAGCATGTACAATTTTAACTCAGTAATGAAACTATGGATGCTCGATCTTCACAGATTCCTGAAATTAGGAAGAGAAAAAAAATTAAGTAAAGGCCATTGCTTTGGATGGCTTTGGATGTTAGAAAATATAAAATGCCATTAAATAAAAAAAAATGTTTTGTGCTATTACTGTTACCATGAATAGGAAATTTTCACAACCTTCACATTCACACCTAAAATGAAACATTCTCATATGTAAAGAGCACCACCATATCTTCCTTTCAAAGGAGAAAAAAAAAGAAAAGAAAAGTGTAGGTTGAAAATACTGTAACGCTCACAATCCTACATTGAAAATATGTGTAGATGTAGTATAATATATATGTAAAAATCTAAATTCAAATTATAAGGTTTCTTTTGTGGGACAAAATCGTGAGACCTTAATATCAAAGCAAACAATACCTCACAGGTTGGGTATGAATCTCCACAAATGATATCAAAATGATCAAAGTTAATGAAAATTAAGTGTTATATCGTGGGAGCCTGCTAAATGCTACACGGTGGAAAGTCACCTCTAGAATCCCAACGTCTTGTGTGATTTTAGTCATGTGGTTGAACTAAACTTGACAAGGATATCAAACTTTAAAGGTGAAAAGATTGTAACACCTCAATTTCATATTGGAGGAATATGTAGATATGGTATAATATGTATATATATATATATATATATATATCTAAATCTAAATCTATGAAGCACCTTTTGTGAGATAAAATTATGAGATCTTCATATTCAAAGCTGACAATACCTCTCAGGTTGAGTGCGAGTTTCCACAAATACAAAGTTGATAAATTGTCTTAAAAAATTACACTTAACAATTAGCATAAAATTGTGATTTCAAAATTTTCATTTGTGTAGAAACACTTTTTTCTTCTCAAAGTGAAAATGAATGCAATAACAAATGTTCTTGCCCTTTATTTTAAAATTATGAATCACACAAAGCTAAATATGACTAGATATTCAAACACTGTCTTTGATAAATGACTTTCTTCTACACAAATTAAGAAGCGTATTAGTAAAAACACCTTTCTTTTTAAGAAAAAAGGGCAATGACTAAGAAGCATATTTTTTTTTATCTTTTTTTAGTTAAAGTCTAAAATGTAATGCAATAAAGTCCAAAGGTTAATATCACTAAACAATAGAAAAAGATAAGCAAGAATAACTACCAATAAAATTTTTTTTAAGAGAGAGACAATAGACTACAAATAAATAGGGTGAAAATAACTACCAAAGTAAGCATACGAAAAACAGAAGATTGCTTTATTCATAGGTATTCAAGATCCAAAATCATCATTACTAATATCATGGCTAGAAATTAGTCCTTCAAGAAGACCAACAAAACACAACCAAAAACACATCCTTAAGAAAAAACCACATATCAGTTTGCAAGCAACTTCATCTTTAGTTTGCACATTTACCCCTTTAACAAAAAAAAAAATGGCACAATGCTGAAAAAGAAACAATATATATTTTCCATAAAAGAAAGAGAAAATTATTAAAGAACTTTGAATTATTATACCTAAATAGAGCTCTCCAAAACTGCCAATCTTTTTTCCAAGCTTGAACTTGCCACCAATCACATGATCCATTCTAAAAAAAAACTCTCTTTAATAATACCCTATACCTCAAAAAGCTTAATTGAAGCTAATTTCACGCAAATTTGTGTCAAATTCAGCATCTATTGCCCCCTAATCCAAATACTCCCTCAAAACTCAAAGGATTTACCAATTTGACAACTCTAAGCCTCCAGCAGATCAACTAAAAAAAGCTTAACTTTCTTCAATAATTAGCAGGGATAAAAATGTTAAATAAAAAAATCTGGGGTTTGCCTAAAAGAAGATTAAGAAAAAGGAAATCTTTGGTAGAATAAAGCTAAAAGTCAAAGAAAAAATTGGAGATTTTAATCTAAGCATAGGAAAGGTTTAAATCTTAATAAAGTTATATTAAAACCTGGGTATACGATAAACCAAAGCATCTCTAAGCTTTTCATTTGCTTCTTCAAGTACTTTCTCTATTTCTTTTAGTTCATCAATTGCTTGTGCCTTCTCCTTCTCAATCAATGATATTTGCTCCTTTGTTTTATTTAAATCCTCCTACACCAAGTTCAA